CACAGACGACCTACGGTTGCAATACAATTTGATGTGTGCAGACCGGCATATGTGTGCAGCAGGGCACAAGGAGGGTAATGATTGTGGTACAGCACAGCTGCTATACAAGAGTGGCGTCAGTGGTGCCTGGGTGTTGGCGGCACCTGGGTGTTGGCGTCACCTGGGTGTTGGCGGCACCTGGGTGTTGGCGGCACCTGGGTGTTGGCGGCACCTGGGTGTTGGCGTCACCTGGGTGTTGGCGTCACCTGGGTGTTGGCGTCACCTGGGTGTTGGCGTCACCTTGACTGCTGGCGTCACCTGGGTGTTGGCGGCGATGTGGGCGGGGTTGACGGAGCGGGGCAGCACTGTGAAGCCCTTCTGCAGGCACCACCGCACCATCAGCTGCGCCGTGCTCTTCCCGTACCGCGCTGCCATCTGCCCTCCCGTGCCACACGTGGGTGGGATGGCCAAACCAAGGGGTGAGCCGGATGGCAGCATGAGGTGCACATGCAGTGGGGGTGAGGTGCACATGCAGTGGGGGTGTGCACATGCAGTGGGTATGAGTTGGAAGCAGCAACCACGCAGAAGAAAGTGCCATCATCTGCGTTGCCATCAACACCTGCACCGCCTCCCCTTGCCCTCCCTCACGTGCCCAACATACGTCCACTCAACCCCGGTTGCTATAAGGTTTGCGACACACGCGCCTTGGAACACCTGCAATTTCCGGCCCGACCAGGGCTGAGAATTGGCCTGTACTGGCCCAACCCCGTAGAAGCCCGGGCCACAACTGAACTGAAACACAATTGGCCACAGCTGGCCACAGTTGGCCACAGCTGGCCACAGTTGGCCACAGTTGGCCACAGTTGGCCACAGTTGGCCACAGTTGGCCACAGTTGGCCACAGTTGGCCACAGTTGGCCACAGTTGGCCACAGTTGGCCACAGTTGGCCACAGTTGGCCACAGTTGGCCACAGTTGGCCACAGTTGGCCACAGTTGGCCACAGTTGGCCACAGTTGGCCACAGTTGGCCACAGTTGGCCACAGTTGGCCACAGTTGGCCTGTACTCGGGCCGCGTCCAACCCAGCGGTCCCGTCCAGGTGGACAGCCCCAATCGGGCCCACAGCTGAAACACATTGGCCCGCCCCGCCTCATGCCTACTGCCCCCCTCCCCCCACGCTTTCCTAATTGTTTTTTCACCTGCCTAATTAGTTTGTTTAGCGTTTTTTAATCACCACTCAAGCGTGCGTAGCAATACTTGTGTTAAAAAAAAAAAAAAAAAAAGTTCGACGATTTTTTTCCATCCCAGATCCCTCACAGCATCCACCAGTGCCTCACACCATCCACCAGTGCCTCACACCATCCAACCCAGCGGTCCCGTCCAGCGTATCTCACGGCATCCACCTGTGCCTCAAGCTCGTTGTGGCCTCCCTGGCCTGCCACCATCAACTGTGGGCGGTAAAAACGAACCGCACACCTGTCTGACGCAACTCATGCACCCACCTGCACCGCACCCACGTGCACCGCACCCACGTGCACTGCACCCACGTGCAGGGTGGCACAGCGCACCTCGACGAGTGTGGGGTCGCGCAGGCGAGTGCCCTTGGTGAGGGGCGAGTAGGCCTGCAGCGCCATGCCGTGCTGCACGCAGAAGTCCACGAGGGCGCGCCGCGTGCCGAAGGGGTGCAGCTCCACCTGGTTGACGGCGGGGCGCACGGTGCTGTGCTCAAACAGCTCCTCCAGCTGGTGCTGCCCGAAGTTGCTCACCCCGATGGCCCTCACGCGCCCCCCCCTCAGCAGGTCCTCCATGGCGCGCCACGAGTCCAGCCGTGCGTCCACGCGCATGGGCGAGTGCAGCAGGTACAGGTCCACTGGGGGGAGGAGGGGGGTGGCAGGGGGACAGGGCGGTGTGCGCTGGAGTAAGGGCGGTGAAGGGCGAGGCGATGCGTGGAGTTGGTGTGGAACAGCAGGTTTGAATCATGCGAACCCACCGTAGCCCCACCCACCCACTATAGCCCCCCTCACCCACTATAGCCCCCCTCACCCACTATAGCCCCTCTCACCCACTATAGCCCCCCTCACCCACTATAGCCCCCCTCACCCACTATAGCCCCCCTCACCCACTATAGCCCGCAATAGTCCCACCCACCATAGTCCCACCCACCATAGTCCCACCCACCATAGTCCCACCCACCATAGTCCCAGCCAGCCAGCCAGCCAGCCAGCCAGCCAGCCAGCCAGTATAGCCCCTGTGACCCACCGTAGTCGAGCCCCAGTTCGCTGAGCGAGCGGTGGAAGGCCTGCAGCGTGGCGTCGTAGCCGTTGTCAGCATTCCACAGCTTGGTCGTCACAAACACACTCTCCCGTGGCAGCCCACTCGCCCTCACCGCCCTGCCTGGTGGGGTGCGTGGCATGTGATGGCATGGCATGGGATGGGATGAAATGGGATCGGATGGGATGGGAGGGGATGGGATGGGATGGGATGGGATGGGATGGGATGGGATGGGATGGGATGGGATGGAATGGGATGGGATGGGATGGGATGGGATGGGATGGGATGGGATGGGATGGGATGGGATGGGATGGGATGGGATGGAATGGGATGGGATGGGATGGGATGGGATGGGATGGGATGGGATGGGATGGGATGGGATGGGATGGGATGGGATGGGATGGGATGGGATGGGATGGGATGGGATGGGATGGGATGGGATGGGATGGGATGGGATGGGATGGGATGGGATGAGTGCACGCTCACATAAAGTTGAGAGAACAAATGAGAACCTGAGGGGGTGCAGGCAGCACACGGTGAAGCATGGCATGAAAGATCGTCCGCCTGGCCGCGTGAGGCAGCACCCGGAGAGGGTAGAGAGGGGAGTGGGGAAGGGGGGTAGGGGGAACGAACAGCGGGGAAATGCAAATGCGAGAGTGGAGGTGGCGAGGGGCGTACCAACAGCAGCTTCGTTGCGGTGCAGCTGCGCGGTGTCGATGTGACGGTACCCCTCCCTCAGCGCCGTCAGCACTGCCGCCTCCGCATCGCGCGCTGAAATCTGCGGGGTTCATGCGCACAAGATGGGGGTGGGACACACTGGGCGGGCGGGGCGTTCCAATATGGCACGCTCAGTGGCTTCATATGACACATCCCTTTCAAGCACCCCTCTCACCATGTAGGTGCCGAAGCCGAGGCGCGGCATCTTGACGTGGGCGTCGAGCGGCGCGTTGCAGATGTCAACGCAGTCCGTCGCGGGGCACAGCACGCGCTGCCCCACCGCCGCGCGCAGGTTCGCCATCCGCCCCCCCACCCCGCCCCGCCCCGCGCTGCACTGCGCCGCACGCCTTGCCTCCTCGTCTCACAAACTGTGATAAACGTATGCGAGCAGGGAGCAGGGAGCAGGGAGCAGGGAGCGCAGTAGCGGCGGGGGTGAGAGATCACAGCGGCTCAAAGCGGGGGCACGCGGCGGCGGGGTGGCTCGACCCGCCCCCGAGGGGTCCTCGCGTGCGCTGGAGGGCTCGAGAGGCAAGTCAACGAGGTGCGACGCGTGGCGGGGCAGGCGCGTGGTGTCGAGACACCCGCACGAGCAGCGCGGGCAGTCGCCGGCGCTCCTTGGGTGCTCGCGAGGCGTATTGGCGCAGTCGGGATGGTGGGCGAGCGCCGGGTACCAATGCTGACTCACCTGATTGCTTAACTCCTCGCACCTAATTACGCTGCCGCTTTCTTTCCCGTTGCGACCAGAGCGTTGAGTCTAAAATCTAGAATGCGTGAGCGAATGGCATCCCGCGCCTCGGCGTGGACCTAACTGGGCGTTTTTGGAACGGATGCTTCTTCAAGGGGTGTCCACGTCAAAGCCCAAGGTGATGCTCTCGAAACACCCCACTAGGTGGTAAGGGCGCGTCATTTTCATTTCATTTTGGCTCATTACCCATCCCGACCAATCTGAACATTGATTGGACCATGCAGAACGTGTGACAAACGAACGAAATTGGGTATACTGTGGTTGACAAACGAAGTGTGCGAAAAGTGAAAAGGCCGCGCTTTGTTCGTTTCGTTTACCAAAGTCCCATACAGAAACTGGTTGGCACCTCAAAGCCCGCGGCCCAAATTGCGGGCCGCGCGGGTCAAGTTTTTAAAACTTGACGAAGTGGCCTGTGCAAGTTTTGAAAGGTAGCGCATGTGCAATTTGGGACTTTCGAAGTCTGACACACCCACCAGAGAGAAACAGAGGGGCTCGCTGGGTTTGGCGAAAAAAAAGTTGACGAAATCAGAAACACTCGCCAAAACCCAAACCTGTAAAACCCCCTCTCGTCATCTTTTTAAAACTTGTGCAATTTGGGCTGCCGGTTCCTGAACGAAAATGTACGACCGCCCGTACCCAGCCCAAGAAAATTGACCCTCGCTACCGCACGTCTGTCTGCCGAACTGACGACGTTGGACGCGCCCTTCATAATTAAGGGTTTAGAACTTTTCAAACCGCAACCTGGGTTGCGCATCATCGAAAGGCAAGCATTCCGCCAGGTAGTGCGCGCTCCGCACGTTGCCGTGCGCGCCTCGCAAGGGCTAAAGCTTCAGCCTGAAACCCATGTTCTTCCGCCTTTCCACGTCCCTCCGCCTATCCGCGCCCTTCCGCCTAGCCGCGCCGGTCGCCCACATGCTCCTCCGCGCGCCCCTCCATCGCTCCCCCAGCGCTCTCGTTCCGCCTCTCTCTCCCTCGTCGCCCGCCGCATCGCACGGCCCCATCGCTCGCTCTTCGCAGCGGAGCCTCGCGACCGCTGCGACGGGCCACTCCGCTGCGGCGACCAGCAGACGTCGCACAGCCACGTGCGCCTTGCGGTCTGCGCGTTCCCCCACCGCCCCCTGTCCCCTCTACTATTGCGGCCTTGTGCCGCTCCCTGCCCCCGACGCAACCGCGTCGCTTGCGCCTCTTGCGCTCTCTTCCCGTCGCGTCGCGTGGACGCTCTCAGCGGCGGGGACAAGTGGCGAGGGGGTCGTGAGGGGAAATGGCGGGGCGCGGGGAGGCAGTGCGGCGATGCTCGCTTCGGGAGCATGGGGAGAATCGCAGAAGGGGCAACGGGGCTTCGGCGGAGGCGCACTCCCGTGCGCGACCACGGCGGAGGGCGCCGTGCTGCGCGGTGAGGAGGCGGGCGGGGCCAGCGGGATGGGGACCGTGAGGGACACGCGCGCGCCTGGCGCAACGGGCGCGAGGGGGGGGGGCGATGAACCAGCAAGGCAGGGGGTCGTGGCGCAGGCGAGGTGGGGCGGCGCGGAGGGGGCGGAGGGGGCGGCGGCGGGGGGTCGCGCGGTGGTGCTGTGGGATCTGGACAACGTGCAGCCCGAGCGCATGGAGCCCTTCGACGCCGCCACGCGCCTCACAGACCTGGCGGCCAGCTTCGGGTCTCCTGTGGACGTGCTGGCGTACGCCAACCGCCACGCCTTCGACCACGTGCCCGCCTGGGTGCGCGAGCAGCGGAGGGAGCGGCGCGAGGCGGAGCGCATGGCGGCGCGCGGGGAGGTGGAGGAGCAGGAGGTGCGGTGCGAGCTGTGCGGACGGCGGTGCAGCGGGGCGGCAGCACTGAGGAAGCACTTTGTGTCGCTGCACCAGAGGGAGCATGAGAAGCGCATGCAGCACCTCAACCACGCCAGCCCCAAGTGAGGGCTCCCCCACCCGCCATGCCCTTGCCCGCTCCAATGGCCCACCCCCGTTGCTCACAGTTCCCTCCTCGTATCTCCTCTCCATCGTTATTTCCCCGCCCTCTCTGTCCCGTTTAGTAGCATTCCTGTCCCCCATTGCCCGCACCCATGTCTCACATCCGTGCGGCCTTCCCCTTCCCCATCGCCCACGTGCCATGCGAGCAGGCGGAAGCGGCGGCTGAGGGAGGTGTACCGGGGCAAGCAGCAGCGGTACCAGCAGGCGGTGAGGGGCGTGCTGCTGCCTCGCCGCGGCTACGGGCTCATGCCCGAGCTGCGCCGCGCTGGGGTCGTCGTGCGCCTCGTCAGCCAGCAGTCGCAGGTGGGCGGTAAGGGAGAGGGGGAGAGGAGGTGAGAGGCGAGAGGTGAGTATGGCCGCCTCATCATTGCATCTTCCACCCTCTCACTCTGCTACTCACTTGCGCTCCCTCCCCACCTCTACCCCCCCCCTTCTCCCGCACCGCGCACCTCTCTCGTCCCCCAGGCGGCGGACGAGGCGTTGAAGAGGGACATGGCGGCGGCGGTGCGCAGTGGGCAGGTGGGCGCGGTGCTGGTGGTGTCGGACGACCGCGGCTACTCCCGCGCCCTCGGCGCCGCCGCTGCTGCCGGCCTCACCACCGTCGCCGTCGGCATCAACGGGTCGCTGCAGGTGGGGGTGGGGTGCGAGCAGAGGAGGGTGCTAGCAGGGGAGGGTGCGGGCAGGTGAGGGTGCGAGCAGGGGAGGGTGCGAGCAGGGGAGGGTGCGAGCAGGGGAGGGTGCGAGCAGGGGAGGGTGTTATGCGTGCATGCAGGTGGGAAGGGGCGCGGCACAAGAGGCTGCACTCGTTGCTTGACTGCAGCACGTTGTGCAATGCGCACTGTGTGCTGCCCAGCTCTCTTCTCTTCCCCCCACCCCCTGCCTGCCCCAGCCCATGGTGCTCGCTCCCTGTGCCTTCCGCCCAATCCCACATGCCCGCCCACTCCCTCTTGCCCCCATGCCCCCCACCCCCCAAAGCACCTTCTTCCCGCTTCCTCGATCCCCACCCCATGCGCCCATGCGGCCATGCCCTCAGCCAGCGGTGCACCGGTGGTTCTGGTGGGGCGATGTCCTCTCCGGCAGGGCTGTGGCGCTCGCCAGGGGGGAGGCAGACGGGATGGCGGGCTGGTGGGGATGGGACAGGTGGCACGAGGAGGAGGGGGAGCGCATGATGGAAGGGCATGCGTGGGGGGGTGATGATGAGGGGGGAGCGGCGGTAGAGGAGAGGGTGGAGCGAGGGAGTGGGCGTGGCAGTGGGGCGAGGGGAGGGCTGCTTAACGTGGCGGATGTGGGGCGCCGGGGGGTGGCGATGGACGGTAGCGAGCAGCGGTGGAGCCATGATGGTGTGCATGGGGGGCAGGGCGAGGGGAGGTATGGGATGAGAGGGGTGGCTGGTGGGGTGGAGGATGAGGGAGGGGAGTGGGACGATGGGGAGGAGTGGGTGGAGGAGGAGTGGGATGAGGATGAGTGGGAGAGCGAAGGGGAGGAGGATGACAGAGCTGATGGAGACAAGGTGAGGCGGTGTGAAATAGAACAGGAATGTGCTCGCAGTGGAATGTGCTCACAGTGGAATGTGCTCACAGTGGGGATTTCATCTCTATTTGTTGCGTGCATTTGAGAGCTGCTGCTCTGTACTACGTGACACTTGCATTCACTCACTTGCCACTGCTGCTCCCCACTTGCCGCCTCATGCACTGCACTGGTGCAAGGAGTGCGCACATTGACCGTGCAATGTACATTCTCGTGTGCTGCGCCTGCTGCCTGGCTGGCAGGGCTTCTCCCATCGAGTGTTTGGGAGCGCTGGCAACGTGGCGCGGCAACGCGTGAACCCGTGACAGCAGCGCTGTGTACTGCGCTCTGCCTCTCTCTCCATCACTCACTGGCGCTGTGCCACTACAAGGCACTGCCAGGCGCTGGAAGGCCATCGGAGAAGGCATGGAGGAGGTGTAGAGGGATACCGTACCGTATGTGTGGCCTGTGTGCCACATAGTGTGTGCCAGCACCTACCGTAATCCCCCGCATAATACACCCCCCAAAATTGAACACCCATGGGTGTTCAATTACGGTGGGTGTACTCAAAAATATACCAGTTATAACACCCCCCATTTTTTTGAAATTATGAGTACACCCCCACCCTAATTTAACGCCTGCCGAGGGGCGATTTCTAACGAATATTTCTATTTGGGAAGGGCGCATCGCCCTTGAAAGGCTATCGAGCAGGGCTGGAGGACTGCGCTCGGAACTTTTTGGCGCGTGCGATGAGCCTGCATGACGTGGCTCACACACCACGCGCAGTGCAACGACTGTTTGAGTTCGATTCGATGAATGAAAGTGTGCTGAGTACAGAAAACATGTGCTTTTTCAGTTAAAAGAATATTATTACATAACACCCATGGGTGCAGGCTTACACCCCCCCATAATTAAACACCCCCCCAAAGGGGGGTATTTATAAGTACACCCTAGGGTGTACTATGCGGGGGATTACGGTACCATACTTTGGCACTACCGTAGTTTGCTGTGAATGTGCATCCTGTTGGGGTAGCTTGTGTTATTGTGTGTCCCTTCCTATTGGTCGATATGATCACCCCTGGCAGTGCAATTCACTCTCAGCCATGCTCAAGAGCACCAGCCATCGCGTACACAGTCAGCGACAGGGAGTTGACTTCTTCCAGACCTTCTCCCCTACCCCGAAGATGACCACTCTTCGGGTGCTGCTTCACGTTGCCGCTCAGCGTGACTACGAGCTTCACTCTCTTGACTTCAGCATAGCTTTCTTACAGGGCAGCCTGCACGAAGAGATCTGGCTGCGCCGCCCACCTGGTTTCACTGGGTCGTTTCCTGCAGGTATCCTGTGGAGTCTCCGGCGGTCAATCTACGGTCTCCGCCAGGCGCCTCGTGAGTGGCGAAACACACTGAGGATTGTCAGAATTAACGAGCAGGAATGGGTGCATTGAATAGAAATGTGGGTACAAGTACTAACCCTAATTTGGGTTGTACCCTTTATGGGCTACCCCACTACAGCCTACACAGCACAAGCATGCTGGATTACAGTTTGACACACCCCCATAGGCAAAGTGGGGGAGAACCAGTGGTCACAAGACCAGTCAAGAAAAGCAAAGCAAGTTCAGGGCGGATCACGAAGTTACCACACACTCTGAGCACAAGCAAATGGCCACAAGGCCAGTTCACATGCAGAGTTATATAAAAGAGAGCAAACAGTACAGTGATCACTACCTAGCAGTATCTCTCAGCGGAAACGGGTCGTCAAGCCTGACGACCTGTGACGACCTGACGACCTGCAGCCCCGGGCAGAAAAAAAACTAAAACCCCATCGGATGGCATGCCATCCGAGGGAGGCATCAACCCTAAATCCATCCTTCCTTGTGTTTAGGGTTGATGCCTCTCTGACCGGATGCATGCCCGACTGGGGTTTTTTGTTTTCCCGCGGGCAGCGAGCTCCACCGGGCGACGACCTGGTCGCGCTGAGATATATTCATCCAGAGTAAGCATGCAGGTATATAGACCACAGTACAAGCAAAGTCACGTAGTGAGCAAGTGAGACGAAGCAATCACAAGGCCTAAAGCAGTACAGAAACGCTGATGATCACCAGGCGGAAGTGCCTTGGTGAATATATCAGCAGTGTTGGCCCGAGTGGCCACGTAAGCAAGACGAAGCTGACCACGCTGCTGCAGCTCTCGAGCAAGGAAGTAACGCAGAGCGATATGCTTCGTTCTGTGCTCTAGTCTGTGCTCCTGACACAAGGCAATAGCGGCCTTGTTGTCTACGTACAGAATTGGAGGAGAACGAGGCCGCTCTCCCAAGTCGGTCAGCAGGTAGGTGAGCCAGCGTAACTCCTGTGCAGTCATGGCTCCTGCGTAGATCTCAACCTCACAACCAGGGCCCAAAATTGGTTTAGGCCTACCCTTACAAATCAGGGTTCCAGCCCGTCCTTAAACCGACCCCTAGGGTTAATCAACCTCTACACTGATTTGAGCAGGGTAGTTTTAGGCTAAGCCTGTTGCGGCTACTAGTTTGTGAGCTAAGTTACTTATACTGGCATAATAAAGTAGCACGCACAAAGTAGTGAACGATCCTCTGGCAGCCTCGAAAGGGCCGTTTCTTCCACACGGCGAGAAGTGCATGGCCAGCAGAGCAGGACTGGGACTGCAATTTGTTGCGTATGACAGCTTGAAGCTAACCTTGACGACCAATTCTGCTGTGATGGTGGTGGGCGTGGCGACGTATGGCCGGATTCAAGGGTGCGTTGGCAGTCCTGTGGGAAAAAAAACCCAATGAGGCGACATGACGTGTCGCCGACAACGAATCGAGGTTTTATGCTAGTGGTCACAAGCGACAACGCTTGTTTGTGTGGGTGTTGTATAGTTTGTCACCACGCGGAGTACGGCCTGATCCGCGGTAAAGAAGTTTCGGTATCAGGGTAGTGTACACCCTACCCTGACACCGTCAAGGTAACGACAAATCCTATCAGTGTAAAAAAAGAGCATGCTCTTTAGGCAAAAGGGTAACTATCGTGGAATCCTGATTTGGGCAGGGTAATCCTGAAAAAGCGGCCGGCCTCGAGGGTAATCAGGGCGTTTTACCCTGATATTTTGGGCCCTGCTCACAACTAGAGCTGTGAACAGAAGACGAGCGGGTAGACCGCCAAGAAACAGAGCCGGAGCCAAGGCTGAACGTGTTTGAGACGCGTCTGAGTGTTCGGTGAGGACAACTGGACCCCGCCCTCCAAGCACGAGCCCCATGCCCGATGCACTCCACAAGTAACGCAGTACCCTCTTCGCAGCATCCCAGTGCACCTTTCGGTGTCTACCGGGAGCCACGTAGCGAGCCAAAAGGCCAAGAGGCCACGCAAGGTCAGGACGAGTGCAGGTCATTAGGTACATGAGGCAGCCCACAAGCTCTGGATACGGGCCACTCGGCTCTACGGACTCGTCCGAAGGTGGAGTTGAGAGCGAGTGACCGGTAGCCAGAGGAGTGGACTGTGGCGAGGACCAAGTGAAGCCGAAGCGCTGAAGGACCTGGTGCACCATGTGTGACTGAGTCAGGGTGATGGTGCGCCGTGCTCTGTCCCGGGTGATCTGCAAGCCAAGATAGCTGTGCAGGTGTGTCTCTTCTGCAGCTCCGACTTCACAAGGGCTAGTGCCTCAGTGTCAGCAGTGGCAAAAACCAAGTCGTCGACGTACACGAGGATGTAGAACGGAGGTAACGAAGTGTCGGTGCGGAGAAACAGCGACGGGTCTGGAGTTGAAGGAGCAAACCCAAGTGCCGCAAGTGTCGTCCTCAGTGTGTCGTGCCACTCACGAGGCGCCTGGCGACGGACGGAGGACAGAAAGACTCAGACTCAGCAACAAGACTAGCGGCGTAGTCGAGACGACAAGCAGCAGCAAAGTCAACAAGCTCAGCGACTAAGGCAGACGCAGCAGCAGACTCAAACGAGGGGTCAGTGACAACAGTGGCTAGGAGACACGTGACAGTAGGGCTGGCAGCACGAACCAGGTCAAACCCTGGGTCTGAAATGTGCGGAAGAGAGGACAAATGAGGAAACGGAAGGAGAACACGCTGTGGAACAGAGGAAGGACGAAGTGTCATAGTGTGAGTGCCAGGGACAGGAGGAGGACGCTGACGAGGAACACGACGACCAGTGCGAACAGCGCGAACAGGCGAGGCAGGACGAGATGCAGGCTCATGGCGATCTGTAAGCGAATCTGTCTGCTCAGGGTAAGGAGAAGGAGCAGGCAGTGGGGAGCCTGGCTGTAACGAGAGGCTAGTACAAGACGGCAGGCTAAGAACCTGGCGAAGCACCGAGTCAGGCGGCGGCGGCAGAGACGACGGTGACGGCGGAGCGAAGAACAGTCGCGGCTGTGCAGTACCACCAGCACCAGCTCCTCCAGCACCAGCACCTCCAGTACTAGTACCAGCAGCTCCCAGGTCACTAGCTCCAGTGCCTCTAGCTCCAGTGCCTCCAGCTCCAGCACCTCCAGCTCTAGTGCCTCCAGCTCCAGCGCCTCCAGCGCCAGCGCCTCCAGCTCCAGTGTCTCCAGCTCCAGCGCCCAGCTCCGGCAGCTCCAGTACCTCTGGGACGAGCACCTCTTGGACCAGCAGCACCAGCACCTCCGGCTCCAGCAGTAGTACCACCAGCCCTGGCAGCTCCAGTACCTCCAGTACGAGCACCTCCAGGACCAGCAGCTCCAGCTCCTCCGGTACCTCCAGCTCCAACGTCGCTAGCAGCAGCGCCTCCAGCTCCAGCAGCGCCACTCCGAAGGCGGGTGCGCTGAGCGTACCACTCGCGTAGCTGCTGTGGTGAGAGAGCACCTCCAGTACCTCCAGTACGAGCACCTCCGGGACCAGCAGTGCCAGCCCCATCAGCACCACCAGTACCGGCAGCACCACCAGCTCCGGCAGCTCCAGTACCTCGGTACGAGCGCCTCCAGGACTAGCAGCTCCAGCTCATTCGGTACCTCTAGTGCCAGCGTCTCCAGCTCCAGCGCCTCCAGCTCGAGGGCCACCAGCCCCAGCACCTCCTGCTACAGTGCCTCCATCTCTAGCGTCTCCAGCTCCGGGGCCTCCAGCGCCAGCGCCTCCAGGGCAGGGCCTCCAGCTCCAACAGCGCCACTCCGAAGGCGGGTGCGCGAAGCGTACCACTCGTGTAGCTGCCGTGGTGAGAGAGGCTCCTGTAGTGTAGAAGCAGTACCCCTAGGCTCAGCACCCCCAGACTCAGCACCCCTAGGCTCCGCACGCTCAGGCTCAGCACCCCCAGGCTCCGCACGCTCAGGCTCAGCACCCCCAGGCTCCGCACGCTCAGGCTCAGCACCCCCA